GGGGGGTGTCTGTCCGCGCAAGGGAGGGCAGAAGGCGGGTGCCGGGGGCCCGCGAACCCCGGCGTCACCGCCCCGGTAACCGGGACGCCGAGCCAAACCCTCCCCTGCCCGCTCCCCTCGTGACGCCCGGCGTCTCCCTGGCTTTAGGTCTGGAAAGCAAGGTCCGAGGATGGTGAAGCTGGGGAGTAATTTGAACGACAAGACCAGCAAACAGCCATCCAGCGAAGATGGTTTTCAGACAGTTCCTTTGATCACGCCTTTGGAAGTAAATCACCTGCAGTTCCCAGCTCCGGAAAAGGTAAACCAGACCCGAGCGGTGCTCCTGCATGACTGCGCACACCTGCGTGCCCGTGGTGTTGCTGCCGCGGTGGCTTGCTGCTCGCTGATGGTACAAACTGGCACATAGTGTGTTTGTTCAATAAATAAAAAGGGGTTATCTTTCGTAGCGTGCTTATCTGTTTTAACATGGCAAATAAGCACCCAGCTGTCCCCCAACTCCTTCCCTCCTCAAAAGCCCCAAATATTCCTTCATAAATACGACTGGAAGAGGCTTAGTGTGTTTCTCTTGCGAGCTCTGGAGAAACTGAGGAGCAGTTTACCATGCATTATTATCAGTAAGATTAATTGCCTGCGTCGAGAGTAATGTGATAACTCTTCTGAAATAAGCAGCTATTTTAATTATCGCAGTTAAGGCTTGTTTTCTTCTCCGTGGCTTTGCAAAGCTTATCTGGGCATGGAGGAAGCTGCTTTCTCTGAGGAGAGCGGCTGAATTCCCCTGTGCACGGGGTGGTGATGGAGCGATCCAGGGATTCGTTTCCCCCGTTGGCCCCAGCCAGGGGACAGCTTTCTCCCCTGCCCACTCAACACTCTCAGAACTGAATGCAGCACTGAAATGTCCAGAAATGTGCATTGACGATTGGCTGCGGCGTGGTGGTTGGGATTTTTTAGATGCAGCATGTACTAAGAAATCTTTTGTCTGTATCGATGCAGTGATGATGCATACCAATATAACCTGGTGAGGACATGATGAGACCGTAAAAATCCGTATGCCCCAACAGTCCTTACGCAAACAAAGCCTGTCTGCAGTGTAGTTCCCAGATATCACAGAGATGGAGCCAACTCACCCGAAAGTACAGACAGAATGATTAGATCTCACAGGATAATGGAATAATAGTAAAATTAACACTGATGATTATTGAACATATATCCTGTTTTTACTGTGGTACAAAATGAATTTTCTCTAAATACGTTAGGAGAGCATCATGATGGATGTGATAAAACTGTCTAGATAGACAGACTATGTTTATTTTATGATACAGCTGAGTCAACTGCCTTGGCATCCTGGGAACCAGAGCCGTGCCAGACAAAGGAGCTAGTTTCATTCCCCATGTGCCTCATGGCAATCGGGAGCAACTTCACTGCCTTCGTGAGAGTTACACTTCCATGAATTGTTGTAAAGGAGAGACTGAACTGGCCCTTATCTATGACTCTGATAAATCAGATTAAGCAAAATAATTGAGGCAAAGCTGTATGATTTATCATAAATGTCTGAAAAGCTCAGAGGAAGCTATAGATGTGTAAAAGTGGCTCATTTGATGCTAGTACAAATGGCTTATTGACATCATGCAGTGTCACATGATGTGGAATCTAAATGACTCATGTACCAGGTGAGACATGCATAACCTAACGAAAATCATTTCAAGCAAATAAAGTGGTAATGAGTGTTCTTGTGACCACCACGTTCCAATTGCCTGTTGGTGAACAAACAGTGGAGTGTATTGGTCTGGTGTGATTCCTTGCTGATTTTTCTGTTTAAACATGCCTACATCAATAATTCACATGTTGTTAGGTTATATTACCTTCATTAGCATACATTACTGTCAGTGCATCTACTGACATCCGTATTTTTCTTTGCTCGAAGAGTGGGATGTACCTCCAGGAGTGCTAAGCGTGATTCAGAACTCATTAGAGTCAATGGTATTGATTTCTGCAGGCTGTGGTTCAGCTCCTATGTGCAGTAGGCCTGGAGTTAACGGCGACTGGCGATCCCTTTACAAGAAGTACAGGTTATTTGTGATAAAAGCAAAATAATTCACAGTCTGTTTCCTTTGCTTTTTGTAGAACAGATTCTGTTGGGGTGAGTTCACCCTAGGGCAGAGGGTCTGTTTAAAGACCCTCTAATAAGGAGTTGAGCCTCAGGTGAAAAGCTTGGGCAAAGGTTAAATGATAGGGGGAAATTTCAGCTTTGTACTTAGGAGAGCAAAGCTGCTACTGAATTCAGTCAGACTGTGAGCCTGAGGAAGAGTAGACATGGATTTCAAGTCTTGCAGAGTGTTTTCTTGTTTGGACTTGTCTTGCAGTCAGGAGGCAGGGTTAAAAAAACCCCTAAATCGATTTGACTTTTTTTCTATCTATTCCTAAAACCAGCCAGCAGTTGATTTTTAGCTGTGGAGAGTGAGAACATAAGCCAAGGTGCCTTCTGTGCCTCATGCATGGCATGTCACATACATGACCAGAGCCAAATGAGGTTTGGTGTCGGGGTCTGTGTGCAACAGCTCAGAAGGGCTTTGCTCACTCGTTTTCTTGACTGCAAAGCCATCGCTGCTCCTTGGTAACCGCAGGGAGGCAATGATCCCGGCCCCGCTGCTGCTGCGACTCCATCGCCTTTGCCACCGCAACAAAGAGCTGCTGCGCCCTGGCATTTTCCTGTAAGTGAAATCTAGGGGGGAAAAATAAAGGAAAAAAACCTCTGTTAAATACTGCCTTTTCTGGGCTTCTCTTGACCCTTAGAGGATATCTTCATCTGAGACTATGTGAGCTCTCAACCTGGATCTAACCTTGGGTGTGGAGCAATCCAAGGTGCATCAAAACCAGAGCAAGGAGGTTTGACTGCAGCGTGGGGCTGTGTACTTAGCTTCAGTCTGTCTGGTAAGGGAGGTGTAGTACAGGCTTCGGCTAGCAATCCAAGAGTAAACGAGGTCTGTGCTGGGCAGCCCAGCTGCTGTTACTGCCAGCCTGCAATAATGCCTTCACCTGGTGCATATATATGGTGTGGCAAAGGTCAATTTATAGGCTTTTTCCAGTTGAGTCTTTGACACCTGCATACAAGTTGAAGAAAATAAACCTGTTGTTCATCAGTGTATTTACCTTTGCAGATCCTTAAAAGCACCCCACAAAGCCTATGGAATCTACAGACAATAGTGTTTTAAGGGCTTTAAATACCTGATTTTTCTTCATTTTAAGGATATTTTTGTAACTGAGATTACTTGAGAGTCACTTGAAGTGACTGTCAGCTTTAACCTCTGTAGGTGTTTCACCATAGCTTCATCTCTTTCAAAGTGTTTTCTGTGCCTGGCTCCCCTTTCAGAGAAAGGATACAGAGAAAAAATTAAAAAATGAAGGCTTTTGCTCATGTGATGTAATACCCGAAGCCCATCTCTTTTCAGATAGTTCTTTGATTATATGGAATCTTGTGGGGTGTGGTAGGGGGAAAGACTTTCTTAAAGCCATGCTTAAACTTACTGGCTGTCCTTTTGGGAGCACCTTCCCAACAGGCTTGTTTTTCGAAGCGCTGCGAGCTTAGCAGCTCCCCCTGACTTCCACCTTGATCCTGTTGGAAAAATCCAGGCAGGAATTCAGGAGGCTGGAATTTAGCAACCTTTTTTTAAAATTATTGGCCGCTGGACTGACTGTTTCTTTTTCCACCGAACAAGGATGTCTCCTCCCAAGGCTCGTGCTATTCCTCCTGCCGCATCAGCATTCTCGTTGTTCTGTCAGCAGTTGTATGGCTGCAAGGGGGGAAATGTACCCGGGACAGTAATTTCTCCCCTAGGGTGCTAAGCCTGCTGTGTATTTATATTTATTGACTATCTTCAAGCATTTTCCTTGCCCCCTGTTCTCTTGCTGGGGCGGCATTTGCAGAGGCAGAGACAGATGCTCTTAAATCATTTTTCCGTGTCCTTTTTGGTGAAGTCCATCCATGTAACAGGAGTAATTGCCATCACCGGTGACAAGCCCTTGACCTGGCTTTTTATGTCTCTGAATTTAATTTCTTCTGTATTCAAAAAGCAAAAAAAAAAAAAAAAAAAGCCTTTTTTTTTTGAAGACCAAAGGGGAAAAGGCTGGCTGTTCATTTGTTTTCCTAGGTGTAGACAAAGTGCTTTGGCTGTAATTGTTACTTGTCTCTGCAAGGATAATTCTAAAAGATACGCGGCTTTTCAGGGCACGTACTGTTTCACTGAAATTTTAAATGAGACCGACAACTGGGGACCCCTTGGTCTCATAGGCTCGCTTCAGTATAATCCAGCAGGAAATGCCTCTGTTCTGGCAGTAAAAATCCTAATTTTACATAACACAAAAGTGCACGAAAGCTATTGTCAGGGCTGAAAAAAAACATCCGGCATCTCTTTTGTGGTGAAGGCTGCAGAAGGCTTATCATGTGGTCCATTGTTCTTTATTTTGAATGCCTCTGGAGTCTTGAGAAATAATTTCTTTGGTTGACAAATTCCTGCCATCCAACCCAAGAAACAAAAAAAAAAAAGTCACTGCTCTCTTCAAATGCTTTTCCCACCCCATGCTCCTGCCTCTGGCTCTCCCTGGCCGCACCGTGCTCTGAGTGTCTGAGGCCACGCATTTACGCAGAGTAATAAAGAGTTCCTGAAAATCCAGAGGGTCCCTTGTGTTCACAGCCTGTCCCCATCGGTTTAACAGAAAATAATGTTTTGTCCTGGCCAGCTGAGCAGGCATAATTAATAGTACACTGGATGAGTGCTTTTGTACCTGGGGGACTACTTGTGGCTCAGTCCTGAAATCCTGCTGTCAGTCTGCGCCTGCGAAGCCCGCGGTGCATGGCCGCCTGCTGCTGATGCAGCTGGGGACAGGCGTCTGTGCTCCTGCCCACGCTGCCAGTGGGTTCGGTGGAATGGAGCAAAGGCAAAAGGAGAGAGGGGCAGAGCTAGCAATCGTGGCAGTTGAAGGAAGGAAGAGTGAAAGGGAGGAGGATGATGCAAAGGGGAAGAAAGCGTGAATGAAAGAAAGGAAGGGAATAAAAAGAGAGCATTGCAAATTTGAAGGAACGGGCAGGCTGTGCTGCCTTTCGCCATCCTTTCCTTTCTCCACTTGGGATACTCTGCCTAATCCCCTCAAATACCAAAGGCTGAGCCTTCCTCTTCTGTGACATTTGTCCCCCTCCTACACTCTGCAAGTCCATTTGTCCTCTAAATGATGTATTTGAATGTAAACACCACCTCTGCTCCTTAAGCTGTAATAGATATTTGCAGCGACGCTCACTCTGGCAGT